TCCCAGCTAATATCATGGGTGAAAGAGATTGTTTTCAAGAAAAAATATATTTATATTAATCTATTTTAAGCTATAAAAAAAAGAATAATAATAATAATAATAATTCACTTCTACTTTATTTTCAAATTTTAATTTTAATAAAGTTTGAAATATTTTTTTAGAATTATTTGGGTACTTCTCCAAAAATATTTCTATAAAAAAATGAAAAAGTTTCCTCATAAATTAAAACTAATTTATGTATATAATTAAAAAAAAAAATTTCAAACTAATATAAGAGAGGTTTAATATATTAGCTTATACATTTACCTTATAAATTTTTTTATTCATTTATTTTTCTACAATAAGTATATATATAAAAAAAAATATTCAAACATACTTGAACCTTACAAAAAATCAGTCAAACATATAAACCTATATATAATATTTGATATTTACACCAAACATGTTGAAACAAAGACAAAAGCTAATTTGACTATGACTTTTTATTTATTAATTTCTTTCATGTGGATCCTTTAAAAATAAATTTATTTACGGTACGTATAATCAGATCTTAAATATGAATATCTCTCTTTTTAACAAAGAGTCAAATTGTGATTTTTCACATGATTAAAAATAAAACTATCTAACTCATTTTACTATAATCAATCTTATTAATAAGTATACTACAAAAAAAAAGTTGATATATAATAACACATATTCTATAATGATATAATATTTATTATTAAAAATTATTTTATTTATATAATATATAGTATATAAATATATTATTAAAAATATATGTAAAAATTATAATGACACACAAAATATATTATTAAAGTTTATTTAAAATTAATATATAATTATATATCAAATAAATATATATTTTTATATATTATATATTATATTTATAGTCCAAATATGTGAAGGCATGTAATATTTATTGCGGTGACACTTAAGTCATCAAAGCCACTTAGTCATCAAATTCATGATAATATTAATTGTACTTAATTGTCTAAAGATTTCCCAGCTAATATCATGAAAATCTGTTAGATACAATCAAAGGGTGATTGTAATGATACAAAAGTGGAGACAGTTACGTACAGCTCAAACATTATTATTAGATAACATTATAAACAAAAATGAGCAACGAGTGTAAGTACTTTTTAAAAATTCAAATATGTCAATTATTTTCTTGTCTTATAATTCCACTCTCGTTATGGTCCGTTTGGATAAGAAGAAGGGAAAGGATAAAGACATAATTGCTAATAAATATAACTTGTGTGGATGTTAATCTCTTTGATGTTTGCAATTTCTATAATAAGACATACGTGAGGTGACATTCGATTCATTTCACACTACAAGTCACGAAACCATTGGATATACATTTGTCCCTCCCCCACTAATCAACATAGAAGAAATAAATTAGAAAAGGTAATTATTCTATATGAAAACAACAAGGTAATTTGGTTCCCAAACATGTTACTTTCATCTTTGTTGAAACGTTGTGTCATCATTTTACTCAAAAATAATGCGAGGGGATGAGGGCTTTTTTATTTTTTATTTTATCACGGTTTCTCTTAACCTATTGAATTAGAGATTAATTCCGTTCGCAATAGTGTGATAATTGCTAATCTAACGTATTTTTATACTAAAAATTAAACATGAATTTTTTATGGATTTCTTTTATGGTATTTGTTGTAGTTCTGATACCAAAGTTGAGATTATTTATTTTGGTATTTGTCTGATAGGATATTTTATAAGAGTTAAATATTTTACAATGATAAGATATTTGTTGCGACTCAGATATTAAAGTTGGGGTTATTTATTTTGGTATTTGTCTGAGAGAATATTTTATAAGAGTTATTTTTATAAGGTTATTAACACGAGCATACTCTACAATGATGAGATATTGTTTGTTTTGGGTCTAAATCTTCACGATTTTGCTTTTAGTCATCACCCAAAAGGTCTCTCAATCATTGAAGTATGTTTGTGTTATATAAATTGTTATGTCTTATCTTATTTTATTGACGTGAGACTTGTATTCTAATAATTTTTTATTACATAGATCATTGATATCTAACCACTACACCAACCCAAAAGATGAGGGCTTTTGTGTCTTTTTTCTGTAGAACGCTCTTTGAAGATCTCACGCGGTAGCAGAAAAGGGAAAGAAATTTGTCGAGAGGTACCCACCAATATTGGTGTTGGTGGCAAGTAATAAGGTTTGAACTAGGAAAAGAATAGGGAAGGCTTGCACAACTATGACTTGGTCAAAAAGTACAATTATTTTCCTATTCCCACTTTCACAATTTTGGGTATTAAAAGTTCGTTCCGCATAGGTGTTGAAGATAACATAAAGAAAATCTTGTGATCGAATATTATTTTATGTAAAAAGTAAATAAATGAAAAAATGGAACGTGTTGGTGACATAGTTAAATTTCATTTCCACTTACAAAAGAAGGAAAGAAACTCACGTCATGGGGTTATGATATGATGAAAGATTCAAGGTCACTAGCCACGATTGAAATTTTACACAAAATTTTGAGACATAAAGAAACAAGTGTGTGGCTTGGTTGCTACATACAATGCCATATGATTGCCCATTTGCATAGTCCCACTTGTGTGTTTCTAGCGCGTTGTAAGATAAGGGTTAGCATCACCCAACCGGCCCCGTCCGAGATTTATTTGGACAAACTTTATTTTTTAAATTGAATTCGATCCATTTTTAAAATAGGTTCAAGTTATATTTTAGGTCATTTAATATATTATATTCTTTTAAAAAGTATAAATTTTATTAAATTATTATGTAGTAATAATAAAAAAAGTTATCTAATTATTAATATTTTTTTTATAACATGATACTACCTTAATTTATAATTTAATTATACATAATATTAACATTAATAATGTATTAAAAATGAGTTGACTCTACCTTAACTCTTGTATTTTTTGACCTTAGTTGAGTTGGATTTAGATTTTAGAAAATGAATCAATCAAAAAATTAAGTTTGGATAAGAAAGGAATTGGTCCAATCCGACTCGTATTTATCTCAATTCCAAGATTTTTTATGTGAAAAGAGTAGACAAATAATTATAAATCAATTTTTTATTCATAAAACTAATTAAAAATTTCAATCTTTCATTCATCTAAATTACCAACAATTTAAGGTCTAAGATCTTTCTAATTATTAATTAATCAAGTTAATTTAGTATGTGAATAATTTTTATTTTACTTGACATATGTACAAGGTTAAATTATTATTTTTTTTGTCATAGATTTTTTTACCCACTAAACCAAAGGCTAATCTTGTTTGTAATACTATAATTATTGTTGGCCCAGAAAATTTTTGCGTACATGTAGGGACGGCAACGGAATGGGACGAGTATAAGTTTCATTATCCTCATCCCCGTTACCATACCATATATCTATCTCCATCCTCATACTTGATAGGGTATGAGATTTGTCTCCACATCCTCATCCCTGTCGGGTATTGGGTATACCTATACCCGTCTTGTATCCACTCAAAATTATATTAATTAAGTTTTATTTGATATAAATTTAAAATAGATTAAAAATTACATCAATGTCAAGTAAATTTTTAAAAGCATTATATATAAATGTAAAGTGTCTAACCACTATGACAAGTTATCGAGTTTGTATGAGATTGTATTATTAGAATTAGAGTAATTGCGTGTAAATGAATTTGGGATCAAATGTAATAAATATACATGTAATTTACCTATAAAACCTACAAATAATAATTAGAATCAAACTTGATGAATATTTATAAAAGGCACAAATAATAAATAAAATTTCTAAAATACTCTAATGTAAAATTTTTAAGCAGAGAAATGTCAGCATCACACTCTCATACACACTCTCAGACACACTCTTTTAAACATATTATTTCAATTGGTTAAAACTTTATAAGAAAACACAATATTTGGTGGGACCCACCCCTATTCAATGTCTCTCTCTCTCCTAATTTTATAGTTCTCAATAAATTCTAACAAATGAGAATAAGTGTGTTAAAAGGAATATATTAAGGAGTGTGTTGCTAACACTTATCTTTTATGTATTACCTTCCCTAAGTTACACAGTATAAAAGGTGAATCAGGAATGTTAGATGAAGACCTTAAAAAAAGATATGGCGTAAAACTTTATTTAAAAAAAGTAGAAAAAAGATGTAAAAGGATCTATTAGGAGGGAAAAAATATAAGTTGTCTTAGAACGCATTTTACTTTAAACCAATATTGTAAAATCGACTTGTAAGTAAGGTTATTCCCTTACTTATATACTCTATTTTGGTATTGTCTCTAATTAATATAGATTTGGTTATTCCTTTACTTATATACTATATTTTGGTATTGTCTCTAATTAATATAGATTTGTTTTTATTGAGTTTGGTGTGTGAATATAGATAGCAGGTATCTCCGAATTAATTTATATTAAATGTTAACTTAATCTTATAAAATTAATTTGTAAGATAAAACTTTTTTAGTATATTATAATTTTAACAAAATCAATTTATAAAATAAAAATTATCCTCATTTCATATTATATTTTTAACAAAATCAATTTATAAGAATCTTCTTGCATATTATATTTTTAACTTTATCTATAGTGAAAGTGACAATAAATTTTTTCCCATACATCTGTGTAAGATTTATCATGTAATATACTCAAACTTCATTAATGCTATCATAAAAAAATTATTTTGAAATATATGGATTCTCAATTCTCGTTATCTTTCCCAGCTCAGGTAGAATCATTCAACTCTTTAAATAATATAAATAAGTTTGTGTCGATAAAACTTAGTTTTCATATTAGAGGTTGGAATTGAGGGCTTGAGGATAGAGTGAAAAGACACAATTGCCAACACAATGGTTGCTGATATAGGTGAATCCAACGGTGTACATTGGTTTCAGTTTGCACCGTCTGTGATGGGTATCTATGTCATTGTCCCGTCATAGTTTCGTGTGGCCAATGTCTTTGGTCTGAGACAGACAAGTTGAAGTGCATTCCAAGAAGTTTCGTTAATTTTAGGTGGATTTGTTTTTCCACTTTCTTACCACTTCACTCGGTTCCAGAAGCACACATAGTCGTCATGATTGCCATTTTTTAATAAATAAATAAATGGGCCTCTTTAGACTACGCCATATGTTCATAAATTCATATTATTTTTTTAATCCGGTTGCTCAATTCCTCTTAACATACCTCCATTTTTTTTCTTCCTTTGTCTACATCTATATTTATTAGATTTGATTGGTTGTGCATATCAATTCTCAAGTACCTTCTTGTTAATTGTTTTTTGTTTATCTGATTTGTTGCTTTTCTACCAATCTGACCTTCCTAAGGAAACAAGAAATTTCAATATATTAAGGAGTCATCAAAGGTTGTCTTGTCTTTTGGGTTGGCTATAATCAAAAGCTCTGCCACTTGGTCAAAATCAAAAGCCTTGGCTGAGTTTTTTTCTTTGTCTCTTGGAGCATCATCTACATCTTCCTGTACTTGCATCAGGTACCCTTTATCTCTTGTTTAGTTCTTGATTATATTATATGGTTTAATTTTTGTAACATGGGTGGCTTCTTCAAATAAGAGTTACAATTCTTGTGATTAATTGTGAATTGAAGTTTAGGAGACTACGTAAAATTGGTCTTTGCTCTCTAGTTTCTGAATTTAGCTTTTTGATAAAGGATTTTTTGATTTTTCCTATCATAGGTTGGTTCTCCAAAAGTTAATTGTTCTGTTTTTTTGGTTATCCTTTTCTGTTTCGTCGTAGGGGATACTTAATTTAGCTCCTAAGACTCTCATAGAAAAACACAGTGATTGGTACTATCCAATCAAAATGAATTGGAACTGTGGTTGAATAAGTGTCGTATCAGTCTCTCATACTTTTAACATAAAAAATTTGTGTTCATAGCAGGAGATTTATTTCTTTGTTCTTTCTGGCAAATATTTGAAAAGGCAAATAATTCCTCACTTTCTAGTGGCAGATAAGTTTAAAGATTAATGTCTAAAGAATATTAGGTAAATACAAAAGCTTTTGTTTGAAGGGTATTTTCATTTGATTTCAAGAATGCGTTTGGTTATGTTGGTTGGATGGTAATCCAGCTTAATATCTGCAGGCATAAGTTCTAAAGAATAACAAGCCTTAAATATATTTATTTTTCTCTTCCAAACACTGAATTCATATTTGACCAAAGCTAATAGCTAATTTTTTTATAAAAGGGTAGTCTTAATTCTGTTTGCTGGCTAAGTAAGATCATATTTTCTCATTCAATACATTCAAAATCATACTGGTGATCTAAGGATGCGACAAATTCTGTTTATGTCCAAAGCACACAATTGCATAGGTTCATTTCAATTTTTAGATTGGTTATTTATTCTAACTGAAAGCGTCTTCTAATGTTTCTCTCTTCTCCTTTTGTTTCCCCAATTTTAGCAAAGAAGAGATCCTAGAAGGTTCAACAAGATTTCATCAGTGAGCTCTTGTTTTTTTAATTCTCAAGGTAAGAAAGGGGAGAAAAAATAAGGACAACTCAAGTACAGTACCATAAGTACGATTCGTTTTGTTCTCTAATTAGAACTGGAATTCACCTCAGTAATATTAATGCAGACCTGAGCAATATATATTAATGCATAGTACTAAGATGAAACTCCAATTCTAATCGGAGATTATCATCAACCGTATCAGTGGTACTATACTTAAGTTTTATCAAAAAAAAAATAAAGCCCAATAAGTTTAATTGATTGCAAATCTTATGGCACATTCCTAACTAATCTTTGTGATGTTTTTGTTACAGACCGAAAATTTGTATGTGCTGAGGGAACAAAAGGAGAACTATGTCACTGGTTATATCTACAGAGCTGGCTGATGCATCATATAGGAATGCTAAACTCTACACACTAAAGGGAACTGATGTTACACCAGGCTTGTCCTCCCACAGTTTTGCTCCAGATAAGCACAGAAACATGTACGTAACAAATTCTTACTCCAGTGAGATCAGTTATGAAAAGTACTTCCGCGATTCGCCGACAGAAGAGCTGATAGAGCCATCCAGTTCCAGCATATCAGCAAACTCAGTTCACCCTGATGCTGCTTCTTCTTACCTTCTCAGAGCCAGTTCAGGAGCTTCTGTCATTGCTGATAACCCCTTTGACTCTTCCATCTTGTCTACAAGGCATCATAGCGGCAGTTCTCAGTCCAATTTCGTGGAAAATGAGAGCCCGGATTGCCTTGACTTCGACGGAGAAATGAGACTAAAACTGCTAGAACTGGAGAGGGCTTTGCTTTCTGATGAAGAAGAGGAGGAGGAAGACATATTTGAGACAGTTCAAAGCATGGAGATTGATCGCGAGGTGGCCGAGTGGGCGAATCCCCTTCAAGATATGCTGCTCCATGACTCACCAAAGGAGTCCTCATCCTCAGATTGTTCCAATCTTAGCAGCATAAGTAGCAGCACCAAAGAAATGACCCCCAAGCAACTGCTATATGATTGTGCTAGAGCACTTTCAGAAGGGAATGAAGAGGAAGCAACATCTATGATCAACAATCTGAGGCAAATTGTCTCAATTCAGGGTGATCCTTCCCAAAGGATTGCAGCCTACATGGTGGAAGGACTTGCGGCTCGCGTGGCTTCGTCAGGAAAATGCATCTATCAAGCCTTGCGATGCAAGGAACCTCCCTCTTCAGATCGCTTAGCAGCAATGCAGATACTGTTTGAGGTCTGTCCTTGCTTCAAATTCGGATTCATGGCTGCAAATGGCGCAATAGCTGAGGCCGTTAGAGATGAAAAGAAGGTTCACATAGTAGACTTTGACATCAGCCAGGGAACTCAATACATAACTCTAATACAAACACTTGCTTCAATGCCAGGTAGGCCACCTCATGTGAGACTGACCGGGGTGGATGATCCTGAGTCTGTGCAGCGACCTGTCGGTGGCCTCAACATCGTCGGACAACGCCTTGAAAAGCTCGCCGAGGAACTCGGCTTGCCATTCGAGTTTCACGCCGTGGCATCAAGGACATCGCTTGTCACGCCGCCAATGCTCAACTGCCGTCAAGGGGAAGCTCTGGTGGTGAATTTTGCATTCCAGCTGCATCACATGCTTGATGAAAGTGTGTCAACCGTGAATGAGAGGGACCAACTTCTGAGAATGGTTAAGAGCTTGAATCCGAAGCTTGTGACGGTTGTGGAGCAAGACATGAACACAAACACTAGCCCTTTTCTTCAGAGGTTTGTTGAGGCCTACAACTACTACTCTGCTGTGTTTCACACGCTTGATGCAACTCTCCCCAGGGAGAGCCAGGACAGGATGAATGTTGAGAGGCAATGCTTGGCAAAGGACATCGTTAACATCATCGCGTGCGAGGGCGAGGACCGGATAGAACGGTACGAGGTTGCTGGAAAGTGGAGGGCCAGGCTGAGGATGGCCGGGTTCACTTCATCACCAATGAGCACAAATGTGAGGGAAGCAATAAGGAAACTCATTGTTAAGCAGTACTGTGAGAGGTTCAAGATAAAGGAGGAAATGGGGGCACTTCATTTTGGTTGGGAGGACAAAAACTTGATCGTTGCTTCAGCGTGGAAGTGACTAAGATCAACACAAATTCTTTTGGTGACTCATTGTAGTGTTTGTTTGCTTGTTCAGTCTGTATCTCTATGTTTGTGCATGCTTGGTTCAGACTCACATGTATACTAACGTGCGACTTATGCTAATACAAAACTTTGATGTGTTTAACGTGGATGGATTGGAGGCCAATGAATGGAGTATGTGACAACGTAAAACACCTATCGATGGTTAGGATTGTAATGACATCATTTCTTGTTAGCTTAATTTTGTGTTTCATTTTGGTTAGGATGTCACGTTGAGAGGCTTGTAGCTTACGGCATAAGGTTTTGATAATTGATGGAAGTGCACTATAATATGTAGACGTGTTTATGATTTGACTTTGGTTTAACGCAATAAGTATATATAATCTGATAAAATAAATAAAAAACGTGAATTGTTCAAAAAATAATTTAGCAATAATAAAAAAGAACAAAGATGCCATATTAAAAGAATTGTCTCAATAGTGTCCTAGAATGTTATAATTGAAGACAACATTTTATCAAAAGAAATCTCTCAAAGTGTCCTTTTTAAGTGGCTCTCAATAGTGTTCTAATGATCATCCATCAAGTTCTTAAAAGGAGTCCTACTGTTACAATTACCCATGTCTATTTTTTATGATTTAAGCAACTCCTCTCGAATTCAACCGGTAGCTTGATGAGTCTTTGGCAATTAAGATTTTTTTTTATTGTAATAATTAAATATTTTAAAGTATGCAATTTTATATTTTTCTTGCATATTTGATTAAAGGTTGCTTATATATATAATAAATAAAATAAAATAAAATAAAAAAGTAAATTATGTAAGTGAATGATATTTACTTGTTAACTTAGTCATATTTTATTATTTGTTTTATCCAATCAAGAGTTAGTCAATTTTAATATTTAAACACTTATTGTAAACACTTTTAATGTGTACAAAATTGAATTCATAATTCAAATATATTAGATAAATTTGATGTTACAAATTTTCTAATCACAACCAATTGTTTTAGTCATACACCTTTCTTTTTCATGTCCTGATTCAAAACAGTCTAAATAAAAAGAATGCATGATATCTACCTTATACTGAAGAGTTATAACAAATGTTTACGATATCCAAGTATAATAACAAAAAATAAACTTATGACGACAAGTAGTTGAAGGTATTGTGAATTTCTTTCAACTTCAATTTCATTTTTTTTTAAAATTTAATAAAAAATAATTGACATTTTCATGAATCCTTTTTAACTTTATATTAATAAATTACATTAAAATTTATTCACATAAGTTCTATTAAATTTACTATAATAAATTTAATAGTTTATGAATTATTTTTTATTTCAAAAATTATTAATCAAGTACTTAATTAAACAGGTGATTCAGACGTGTCTTTGAACTAAAAAAAATTCTGACAAAAGAAAATATGAGTACAAAATTAAGCAATTGCTGAATAAAATATTTCAACAGAAAATGAACCGTTTAATATATTTTGGCCACTTACAATTTTTTTCCCTCATTTCTATGGCATACACATGTATAACTACTCCTGCTCTAAGATCTCTGCCACAATATTTACATTTACAATGTTTACCATCAAATCATGGGTACTCATCACATGTCAAAAAACCTAATTTCAGCTCATATTTTAATAATTATACTCAATGCTTAACACCTACAAAACACAAGGCTACTTCAGCTCGGGCCTGAACCTCTTCTAATATTTCCACTATCTTTTCACGACATAAATTACTGTCATTCTGTTGCGCAAGCATTCTCCTCAGCCTTCAAAAAGGGAGAAAACAAAGTTAAAAAACAGAAAACATTTTTCAAGTTAAAACACAAGTCAATTCGAATTAAATAAATATGTTAAAAAAAAAGTACAACCCTAGCTTTGTTTATGATCCGGCTGTCTAAAGTCAATAAATTAATTGACCTTTCAAATGCATAATTACATCAATGGGTAAGTTTCAATGTGTAATGTTTGTCAGCCAGGACCACACACACCAGAGTTGGGCTAATGGGTAAGCTTCCATTGACTAGTGGATAGTACAAGTGGAAGGAACCCTAATAAATGGTGACTTTGTCCCATATCATCAAGTGATTTATGAAAAATTAAGCTAGCCTAGGGCAAAGGATTGCATCATATAAGATCTGTTCCTATAAATGTTAAATGTTCTACATACAATCAAAATCACCAAGTCAACTTAGGGGGCTTCCATTAAAGATGCAAAAAAGGAGTTTTTCTGGCCCAAGTATCATATATTTAGTTTCTTATCTACACTTGAAAATATAGGACCAACCATGCACTGGGGAATCAATATATTACATGACCAAATCTGCCAGTCATATTTAACTAGGGCTGGTGGAACTTCTAGATTTATACAAACAGACACTTGTATATACCCTGTCGAGGAAATTTTGTATGAGGACTCGTGGAAATATACATCATTCTAGGGTCAAACATTAAATTGTTCTTACATGTTTTTTTATTGCACAATGGTCACACTGAGGTTAAAATTTACAACTTCATATGTATTAACCCCATACCCTCACCACTAGACTAACCCTAGTGATTCATTTCTTCCCAACCATGTTAATGTAACTTGTAAGGTGAAAAGTGCACAGCAATTAATAGGGGCATTCACAAGTACGAGTACCCATGAGCCCAAAAATAACCTACCTAACCCATAAAAAATTCACGACACCACTACACATACTTTCAGGCAGTATATTACAAGTCATATACATCATATATTTGAAAGACAAAAATCAAATTGCACATAAATCAGTAAAATGTCATTTGAAAATGGTAAGGAAAAATATAATTTTTTAAAATTTCCAAGATAGCTTTTGATTTTTCATACCTAATCCAAACCAACCCTCTCAGTTCAGATTTGATAGAAAAATTAGATAAATCCAACTCAACCCAAACTATCTTGATAAATTTGGGTAACAGATTTGACGAAATCCAAACCAAACCATGCTAGATATAATACATGGATTTTAAAAGGGCATGCATATCTACCTGCGAACGACAGCAGTGTCTCCATGACCAGTGCAAATTATCATCATAGCATTTGTGGGTAATGACAAATACAGTTTATAAATTCTAGCATCCATGCGAGCCAGAATTTCCTTCAGTTCAGCTGTGGGTTTCAACTTTAAGCCTTTCCCTTTGGCAAAGTTATTCTGACATGTAAGTAATGCCATCATCTCTGCCAGTCTTTTATTCAAGCTTTCAGAATCTTCAGCTTGTTTCTTCAAGTACGAGTGTAGCTCCGAAAACTGAGTCCAGATAAAGTGTACCTTTTCATTCTTCACCTGAAACAAAAAAATAACAAATGAACCAAGACCATAAAGACGCTATAAATGTTAATAAGAACGAAAACACTGTATGCACAGGTAAGACATCTACCTCCTTGTTGATCTTTGCAAGTGCTTCATCATCAGAGGTCACAGGAATTGCATTAGAGGACTCAGAGGCATACCGTTTTACTATGGATACATCATCAATCACCGAGGAAGTTCTGCCAGATTCACTCAGAATAGAAAGGAACTTTTTCCGTGTAAAGGATGGGGGGGAACCAAAGTCAGGCCCTGTTACAAGAGTGTCACAGCAGTTATGCAAACAACATGGCAAACCATGTAAGATAAAGGGACAATACAGAAATATAAAGAAAAAAATAAAAGCTTGTTGATGGCAAATAAAACTACTTTCCCTTCATTCTCAAGTCTTCAGTTCAAGACATACATGAATCACAACTCAGGCCTCATATGAGTAGTGTGTTACCAGTGTTACAAACCCAAGAAAATAAATAATAATTAAGATGAACACTGGCAGAAAATCATGAATAACGTCTTTTGTATTATTGATTCAATGTACAAGGTCAAGGTGACCTTTCAAGGAAGAACTCCCTTATTAAACTGCATTGCAATCTTATCTGTTTCTACTCCCCCTGCCCATTTTGTGCAGCGAAATTCCTATGTATATCCTATATTCTATAACACTGCATTAACCTAATCAATCCTATCAATCCTCCTAATCACACAAATAATTGCTGTTTCTAAAATACCCCGGCAGTATTAACTAAAGAGCTACCACTACTTCCTTCTCAGGATAAACCCTCAAAACCTTCCCTTGTGAATGCTGCTCAATTTCAAAGCAATGCCAAACATAAAACAACTGAGATGAGGTATTAAATAATGAACACAAATTTTAATGCATAAACATACTCATACACATACGAATGGTAATAGCTCTCTACACATGATAAAGTGAAACATTTGCTTTAAAAGAGTATCTGCATATGCACTTAAACTGTAATGCATTCAAAACTTCCAAGATAAAGATTGCAGCAATAATGCATGCAGAAGAACTACTAACCATTTCTTATCTTCAATAGTGCCAATTCCATGGTAGCTCTAGCATCTTCAATGCTGTCATGTCCATTCTCTGATTGCTGTATCTCCCTTGAAAGAAATCTCTTAGTAAGAAACCGTAGAGCAGTTTTATGGGATGATCCTCGAGGGTGTTTGTATAATACTGCAGTGTCAATGACTGAGTCATGAGATATTTTTAATGCTAATAAATCATTTTCCAAAGAATGCCCAACGAGGATAGTCTCCTTGTAAACCAACTTTATGAACTCTTCCTGAAAATGGGAAGCAACTGAAGTTAAATAGCATTATAGCAAAACAAATAGTTTCAACTTAAATTGTTTATCACTGTACCAGTAGTTCGAACTTATAAACTGAAATGTGAAATAAGACAAAGATTAAATCAAGACAACTCATGTAACAGAACCTGAATGTCTGTCAGACTTGTTGTCACCCCATCTAACATCTCAGGCGTTATTCCACTAAATCTGCGCAACATAATCATTATTTGATATTGACAATTTTGTTTAAAATCATAGGAAGACAGAAAAATAGGACATAAAGAAAAAAAATTTCACCTTTTTTTTATATTTCAACTTTTATGTTGGTTTTTGACTTGCTTGCTTTCATTACAAATAGTTAACAGTATCGTAAGACTGAAGAACATCATCCAATAGTCTCTCAATCTAATTAGGGATTTCTAGCACTAGAAACAACAACATTCTAATATGTTCTTCTCAGTATTTTGAGGGCCCTAGATCATTCCCTGAGACCAGCCTCTTACTATAAAGCATGCCCCTAGTCTTATCTCCCAATCTCTTTATAGCCTATCTCTGCCACAAAGAATTTGGGTTACCTAACAGCATCCTTTTAATCTATTCATTTTCATTCAGAATTTCAACCCCATACATAATATAATAATTCACCCAGTATACAGATTACTCAGTTGCCCTAGGGGGAGCACTAGAAGAAACAAGTATTGCTGTATGGGTATTTTCTATTTTAAGTAAACTTTAACATGTTAAAAAAATATTTCAAATAATAAGAAATATATATAATTAAAATAAATAAATAAAAAGTAGCTTGGATCTAAGGAGAAAGCAAAATATTAAAAAAAATGAAAAGGAATAATTTGAGATTATAAGTATCTGCAATTTAAGATGAAAAAGGAAACTTTAATGTTAAAAAAATAAATTCTAACACAATTAAAGCTGAGATTTGATATGAAAGGTTTCTCAATGTAGAAGGAAAATTTGAAACAGTTGAGAATTTAAGAATTTTAAAAAATATTAAAAAAGAAAAGAAGTGCTAAATAATGGTGAAGCCTTGTATCACGTGAAAAAATACATCAAGAGATGTCTTCACATTCAAGAATAAGGCCTCAAATTTATAATATGGGTGCTGATTAGTTTTATCAACTTATGACTTATGAATAACATTCGACATACTAATTTAATATCCAATATTAACTGGCACTGGCACATTGACTGATACTCAAACAACATCTTACCTTGTGTTGTAATCAACAATAGCATTTGATGGTTTAACCAATTTATCAATCAAAACCTGAAAAGATAAATATTAGAAAATAAGGCATCACTGTGCACATAAATATTCCTAATTTTAAAGAGTTGACCAAGTCTCAATATGTAAAATGGCTACTTCAATTTCTTAAAGATTGTAACCAAGGCAGAATAAAAGACAACCAAAACAGAATCTCTATGCAATGGCATGAAGTGTTTTGTAGACAAATACTTATAGCTTTATCATCAATTAAAAAGTTAGGTACTTTTCTAAGGGCCAAAAGGCAATAATATAATGATGAGGAACATAACATAGAGTTTTGTGAAAAAAGGTTCTCAAGAAACAACTTCTTCCTAGTTATCAACCCTGCACTATAACGCTGCTATCGCACAGGAGCATCGTTGGGCAGCCTTGAGCACCTATTTATTTACTGTCAAAGTGTTTTGAAGGAGCAGAGTCAGCCACAAATCATGGCTGCTAGTGCTACAGTGGAAAATCACAGATCTTGCGGATGCTATTCTTTCAAAGGATAAAATCCCCTACTTGTCCATTTTATTCTTTGTGCCATTCAAGCTTATTTTGGGTATTTTTGTCATTTTCCCATATTTTACATCTGATTTGAGATCAACAAACCTTTCTTTCAGACTTGGCTGGTATTTGAGAGTTGAGACCAAGAAACTCAGCTAAGGCTGACCTCCGCATCTGGCCCATTGACCCAGCAATCCAGCAAATATCATTTCAGGCCAATCCCTTTTTTTTTATTTTTCAGCGTGTTGTAATTTCTCTATTATTTTTGTTTCTTTGTGTGTCATGTTCAGAGTGGCAGGGTTAGCCTCGTGTGTTCAACTATTTTTATTTTCAGACAGGTCTCTATGTTTCCCTACTTTTAATAGGTCTCTGTTTTTATTCTGTTTCTTATATGGTCCTTGATTTTTTATGTTCACTAGTTCGTTTTCAAGACTTTATGAATATTAATCAAAAACAAAGTTACATTTATTTTTTATTTATTAGCATTTATATACGTGCAATTAAATTATTTATTTGTATCTAATATTTATTATATTCAAAACTGTTATCATCCTGCCATGCACTATCCCACTAGAGCAGTCGTGGGGCCAGCAGCTACACTATTACCTAAGAATGAGATTGATAACAATGCCTCCAAGTTCAACAAGCTTCAATAAGGAAAGACGTGCCAATTTATATATATCTCGATGGAATTAAACACACAGAAACAAACACAAGATATAAAGAATTAGAATGATAATTATTTATTGAAATTTAAAAATTAATGACCATTCCTACTAAAATCAGTAATAGATGCATTTACTTAACAAAACCTAGTTCAGAAAATAAATTCAGTGAATACCTGTCCTTTGAAATCCACTAGAGTAATTCTTGTCAGCTCAAAACCTTCACTTGTTATGCACTACACAATTGAAAAATAAAAAATAAAAAAGAATAAGGACCAAGATTACATATGTACAGGATATCTATAGCTATAAAAACCACTTTAATCTGTCACAGTATGGAATGAAGTTATTTAAAATTTTGCCTATGCATCCCAATAAAACCTCAATCTATATTTTCTGTAATGCTAAAATAACATGCAGTTAATAAATCACATGTAAAAGCATTTAGTTTTCATAGGAATTAGTAGAAGCACCCATTTACTCTTTGCCTAGGAAATAGTCCCCACTTAGTCTATTAAGAATCTCTATATATAGATGTTCTGCATAACCTAAGTATTGTATAATCAATCAATTTCACAAAGAAACACCTATCTCTATCTCTTTGCTTCTCACTTCCCCACTATATTCAACAAGCTATCTCCATCAAAATTTCATGAATATGAAATAAAATCGTTAGTACTGAGTTTAGTCTTAAACAAGTGAAATTTGGTGCATCAATGGTCAATCCCAATTAATGATGCAATTGTGCATTGAGATAAATGAGTTCAAGATAAAAAAATTAAAAAAAAATGAAATGCCAGGAGATAAAGATGTCCAGATTTGAAAAGGTTGCAGAAAATTTTTAAGCTTCATTGTTTTAAAAAGGCTAAATTATATTTTTAGTCCCTATATTTTTAGGATCCAATTTAGTTCCATTATTTTCAAAAGGTTCAATTTGGTCCTTTAATTTTCAAAAAATGTTCAACATTTCTCTTCTGTCCAAATTGATATTAACGATGTTAATGAAATTAGGTGAAAGGACAACATTAAACATTTATTTTGAAAATTAGTGGTCTAAATTGAACATTTTAAAAATAATGGGATCCAATTGGACATTTTAAATGATTCCATTTGGTCATCTAATATTCAAATGATGTTCAATGTTGTCCTTTCATCGGATTTCATTAATGTCGTTAATGTCAATTTGAACAGAAGAATAACATTGAACATTTTTAAAAATCATAGGACAAAATTGAACCATTTAAAAATAGTGGGACCAAATTAAATCTTAAAAATAAATAGAGGGACCAAAAGTATAATTTAGCCCTTAAAAAATAATACCAATGTCTTTTGTAGATTGGGAATTAGAAAATTCTACAAGATATCACTTTCACATTGTGATTCATGAATCATCATTTTAAACAAAGTTTAATCTCATTCTAGTAAATAAATATTCTATAAGCATAGGGAGTAACACAATATGAACAAATTTCTATAAACACAGAAACTTGCTCCCATGGACTGGAAAAAATCTGATAAGTTTATCATCATCCAGAACCTCATTTCTAAATGATAAAAACAGCAGTATCTTTATCTTTTAACCAAATTGGTATTGATCGACTTACCATCTCACAATCAAGTGCCAACATCTCATTAAAATGAGATCCCAAAGGTGCAGGCAAAGTAGAAATAAAACCTGTTGTGAAAAGGCCAAAAGAAAAATACTGGTCTAGTAAGCAAATGTTTGTAAAGATTAACTATATAATTGGTAGCAGAGTAAAAAATCACCTGGCTTATTAACAGAATATCCATTATCTTCCAGCTCTTTCTCTGACAGTGTATAGTATGTAACAGGGAAAGGTATGTCTTTTGTAAGCTCCGTAAATGATAGGTTGTCACAAGAACCTTCTGCATGAAGATGACACATTTTATAAAGTGGCCAAATTTATATAGGTTATGGGTTATATAATTGCAACGGAATGCTGGTGATACAATCAGCAAAGAACAGCTCAAATAACTTGCTCCATCCATGTGGAAAAAGCAACACACTTGTGACTTGCCTTGTATTAGAATTGCCAGATTCAAAACTTTTTTCACTTGAACTCTAGAGAAGGTAATCTTAAAAAGAATCCCAAATTAAAAGAAAATACTAAAGGGTTATCAAATATAAATTAGACATAGAAGTGAAATCTCAAGAACTTCAGAACTGAGAATGAACCATGAGGAAAGTTACAAGACAGACATCACTGGTCTAAGTAATCAATGTAATTTCAATATAATGACAAATGAAAATTAAACTATGTATATCAGATCAAGTCCTAGTTCGAAGGAGCCTATTTTCCTGGCTAACTTAACAGGAATTCCATTCCTGAGCATTAACAAGCATGCACACATATATATACACAAACATTACAACGTACTCCCTCCAGTCCTTTTGTAAGAACCAAATCAGAAATAGTGTTTGGTTCTTTTTATTGGAACCAATCTAAAATGTATCTAGCGTCAATTTTTTTTTGACAAAAAAAATACCTTTAATTAATGCATTTCTCTTAATTCGATAAGTAGTTGGTAGAGTAAAAGCCTCATTAATGTTATGGGTAGTGTTGAAAAATAAATATAAATTTAGGAATAATTTAACGCAATCAACTAAATTAACCAATTTCCTTAATCCTAGTGAATTAAGTAATTGGATCTTATATAAAGGACTGGAGGAAGTATAATAAGGGCATAACGTGAATAATCATTGCCATGTTTATGTCAACTATAATGAAGACTTTTATCCAGGGGCAGATACAAGAGGAGGGCAAGCAGGGGCCTTGCTCCCCTCTCCCTCTCCCTTGGCTCTTTGAAGAATATAGTATGATAAAATGTATTTATAAAAATAAAGATATAGTTATTAAGACAATATTTAACTTATTATTTAACTACTCCTTTAATCTGTTTGAGATCAACTCTTCTTATTTCAATTGTTATAATTGAGAGATCATTTTAAACTATGTAGGTGGTAAAAAATAAATTTAAGAACAAGGTCAAAGATACATTTTTAATTATTTGTTTGATTTTATATTGATAAACTGATTGAAAGTTGATATATATTCAATATTGTTGATGAATTTTATGATTTTAAAAACTGGTATTCATATATTAGATATATCAGTGTGATATATTTACCGATTATAAATTTATTTATAATTTAATGTTTATTTAAATTTATTATTACCCCTCCCTCACTCTAATAAGCTTCTGTATCCATCCCTACTTTTATCTCTTCCCCAACCCCAAAAATATTACATATATACAAACCAAAAGACAAACATTCCTAAGAAATTTGAATTTAATAGCTTACTTTTTCAACATTGTCAGACAACATGCATCAACTATACAGAATATTTTAACACAAAGGATTCCAGATTATGCATTTCCTTTTGCTGTAATGCAAAAATTTTAAGAATTAATAGTAGGCACTAGGCAAAATACAGGGACTGATATCAACTACACGAGGACTTCCAGGCTTTCAGCCACAGTTGTACACTTTAACTTTGATTAGTAGAGTAGAAAAAATAATAAGGCAGTCCAAATAGCGTTATTGACAGGACAACATTTTAAATACAGCCACTAGGAATTTTTTACCATTAACTTATCTAAAGAACCTCAAATTCAAGACCTACTTTCCATACTAAAAGAGATTTGTATATATCGGTTTGAATAATGAATACCTTGTTGAGATGCCACGGAAGATTTGCTCATAATTGAACTATTCTGGTCCCTTTTTCTTTTCACCTTGCATGTTAGGAGCGCATCAATCGTCTGCATACCATCTGATACACAGCTAGCCAGGAAAAAAAAAGGAGAAAAATTTAAGTGCAGAGAAATTACATTTCAAAGGAAAGAAATATATACATTTTCTACAGACCTAAGAGCTAGGAGAGGCCTTGGTTTGCCACAGATTTTTTTTAAATTGGGAAGCATTTTAGACTGCGACAAGAACAAAGCTGCATCCAGGCCCGGCATATAGAGCATAACCACCTTGGGAATAAGAGGTTTATTCTGCAAATCATGAGTGCTACATTAGTGATTGCAGCAAATTAAAATGTTATATGCCATACAGGGTAAAAGTTGAAGGTCTATGGCTATTTTAAATTGACAAGAGTGATCAACTCATGCCATATAGCCAACACAAATTTAATCTTAAAGCATTTTAGGGGAGTCTAACAACCTTTTTCCAAGCCTAATGACATTCTCACTTTAAGAGGCATAAAGATTGAGAAAACCTGTCTTTTTGTTAAACTAACAAAAGAAAACTAGTTATGTGAGACATTCAAAGCCTGTTAAACGCCCAAGCTAAATTATATTAAGCAGAACCAGTATGACTATATTGTATGGTCCATAACATCCACAACATTGAGAAAAGATTGAAAATGTTGAACATTTGCTACAAAACATATCAGAATAACAAAGAAATTTCAGATCACTACCAGTGAAACACACAAAGCCTGGAAAAAAAAAAAAGAAAAAAAAAAAGACAATTTGCACCTTGATAAAAATCCATGACGGCATAAATCCTTCACCAAGCACCCAAGTTACAAGTCCTTGAACATCCTGTTTGACAAGCGAAAACTCAGTCATCACTACTTTGATTTGAATTTCAAGTCACACAATGGTGGTAAAAGCCTACATTAAGATTCAGAGTAGAATTATCGTCTTTGAAAACAACATCCGCCTTGCCCTGCAAAAGCACAAACATTAACAAACCATTAACTAAAAACTAACAAAACAAAAACCCACGAGGAGACAAACAACACAAGCATAACAAGGCAAAACTATTGCAGATTGCAATTTAGGACAGCATTTAAAAGACCAACCAACAGTAATCTATGCTGGTGCGCCTTTGCATTTACGTGCGTGTGTGTGGTAACAAATAACACCATAATGAACACATTACTTCAGCATTTCATGGGACAATACAACTGTATCAGTTCACAACAAAAAGCATAACTACTTAAAAGCACTACATAAATACATAAGAGCCATACCCTAAACACACAAAAGGGAGAAATTAGGAACCATTTCACTTTTCACCCCAATTGGATTGCACAAACAACCATGAATCCGCTATAAAGAAAAAGGTTATTTCATAATGTTAAAAAGTTGGTCAGATGAATGGATTTGCTCTAACTCAAACTTGAAAAATCAACATATCCCATCCCAAAGTTACAATTAAAACCACCTCCTCGTGATTAAAATCACATTCTAATAATAAATAAATAAATAACGCTCAAAGTCATCATTCAAAAGAGGAACAGAAAGTGTGTTCTAAAGAAGGAGTTAAAAATAAATAAACAACAGAGCCATGAAAGTGGAAAAATTACTTGGGGACCATAGACATCGTAGAACTTGTCGCATTTGTTGTCAACGATAGAATCCTCTTCTTTGACGCCATCGAGGGTTTCGGTTTTGGCCTCCGACGAAGTCATTCTCCACTGTCTAAGATAGTTCGGCGACGCACGCCACACAAGGCTTGTTATTTTTGCGAAATTGAGTTTCGACCTACGGCTTCCCTCTCTCTCTTTTTCTTTTTTGTTTTTTTATATATTGAACCCCAGAACAAAACTCACCTATCACAATGGTACAATTACGCCCCTATTAATATTTTTTTTATTTAAAAAGTTTTATAATCTCTCGATGGGAACATACAAAGTTTATAGATAAATGCTGGTATAAAATTTATAATTTATATTATATATTATATTAAGTAAATATATTTTTAATAAAAATTATATTTAATTATGTTTTAAATCTCTTAAATATTATAATTGATGGGCCCATATCCCCTTTTTCCTTTGCCTTATGACTATAGTCTTTAGTTGTGAGGCTGTTTCCTAACTCATTCTTAATAATTTCTGAGATCTCATGTGTTAAGTGTCAACACCTTAAATTTGGAGGCACAATGATAGGATTATTTTTGAAAATTGGATTGAAGTCACACCTTCGTTATATTTCTTTTTTCACATAGTATGCTTAGTTATTAACAAAGGTTCATAATTTCCTCTTGTGATTATTAGCTTAATCTCTAATAATATCTGCTAAATTGGGACTTCAAAGTCGACATTAACATCTCAACCATCTTCATCAAAATTATTTTTTCCTCAGTGACTAGAGGTTGTACTACTACATACTGATTATCATTCTTGACTTCCCCTTAAAATTCAACACAATTATCTTTCTAGTGACCAAATTTCCCACACTTAAAGCAAATAGCATGCAAACCTTCATACTCAAGATTAAGTTTGAAGTCCTTATAATAAAAGGAATTAACTGTGTCTCTAAATCCATCTCCACACAAATACGAGCAAATTTTCTTGTAGAATAAATTATGTTAATCGATCCACTTTTAGAAAGTTTCCCAAGGATGTGCCAATTCTCTTAAGAAAAACATCATTGTATAACTCAATAGGCAATCTTTGAATTCTAATGCAAAGCACAACTTTCCTAGATTGCTCAACTTGCATAAGGAAAAGCGGTTTCCACCTCTGAACAATCAAATAATGATTTGTCACCATCCAAGGCCCTTCAAACAAAGCAAATTTATAGTCCTTCTCATTCCCAAAAGCCACTTGATAATAACCATCGTGGAGATCTATAATTTTGATTTTCCCATTCTTTGTCCAACTTGTGTGAAGTTTTGCCTTGATCATATTGAAATTAACTTTTCTCCCTAAAACATTCACCACCAAAGTGTTCCTCCAAGGAGTAGCCCAAGAAATTAACTCCTCACCAGAAAGAGGGACCACTTCCTTTTGACATGAAGCTCCTTTTGTTTCCTTAGGGATATTGTCAAGCACACTTTTATCTTCATGCAATGTAACCATCTGTGGCATAATGGATCTTCTTCTACTGGAATCAACAACTTTTCTTTATACATACTGGATCCTCTTGATGCATTCACCTCAATCTCTTTGATTTTCTTGGTACTACACTACAAGAGATCATCCTCTTTGAAGCAGTATCGTTATTATCTCCTTTCTCAGGAACCCTATCAGAGCTCACCATAACGCGTTTTTGATGCTTACATTTAAATAGTATGTATACTAGTTCAAGCTAAATTGGGTCACAATTTTTTTTCTTTCTAAAAGAGAACGATCGCCATTTTTTAAAATCAAAACGATGACATGATTAACTAAAGAAGTTTTGAGTCTCATCACAATTCTACACACTCAATTAGCAACCCACCTCCTCTCACATTAACACAACAGGTTAGAGACTAATTCAATTAAAAATTATTAGCAAAATAAAGAAACTCCATATCTTATAAATATTTTGTGTGTGAAAGTTATAAAATTGTAGGATAATTATAATTTATTAAAGGAAAAACCACTTTGAATAAGTAAAATTACTGAATTGTTTTATACAAAAAAACGAAGGTAAACAATTACCAAAATATTGTAGCACCTTTATATATTGTTATAGATAAATTATAAATTATATATTGATATAGATTATTCATAAATTAAATTTTAATGTTCTTAAAATAAATTATCAATAAATAAAAATAATATTATTGTTATAATATAAGTTATTTATTAAAATATAAAATATAACTAATATATTTAAAAATATTTATTCATACAAATTTTAAATATATTTATATATTTAAATATAATATTTATTTTAATAAATATTTACTATTTGAAGTAACATGCTAAAGTATTAGTTATAAATTATCGACTAACTTAATTTGTTGGTGCCCTTTCCAAGGACCAGGAGCAATTCTTTTCCGTGCGTATTATAGGGCTTTATGGCACTAACGTGGTTTTGGGCCTTAGCGAACATGGGTCAGGGTAAATGGGCTTGCTAGTGTGTGGTTTTCATACATAAGATAAAATAAACATAAACTGTTTTGTTTGGCAATGAAGCCTATTAGCCTAAGGAGAAAGCGTAGTTGAATTGTTGAATGAGGTTGAAGAAGTGAGAAAGAAGGAAAGAGATGTCTAGGACGCTGGTGCAGCCGATTGGGCAGAAAAGGCTCACAAACGTCGCAGCGGTGCGTCTCAAGAAGCATGGCATGCGCTTCGAGATCGCTTGCTACCCTAACACCGTCCTCTCTTGGCGTTCTGGCGTGTAATCTCCAAAATTCATTAATTATTATTATTATTGTTTAGGATTTTGATTTAAAAATATTATTACAGGGAAAAGGACCTGGATGAAGTGCTGCAGTCCCACACTGTGTATTCCAATGTTTCCAAAGGGGTTCTCGCCAAGTCCAAGGATTTGATTGCAGCCTTTGGCACCGATGACCAAACCAAGATATGCTTAGAGGTAGAGACTGGCTACTTGCTAGTATTTTTCATCATCAAATATGTTAGTTAGATTTTATTGCCATGGAATCATGAATTTTTTATTTTGTGTAATGATTCTCTCCTGATTTAGTAGTACAATCCACCCAATTTTTGTGGTTTTCAACTAGTAATAGAGTCTTAGGAAGAGAATGTTGATGGTATTTTTCATGACGAGATATGTTAGCTAGGTTCTTTCTAACACTCTTTATTGTTGTCTTGGAAATTGCAAATTTTGTGAGTCTATCTTGATTTAGTGCTAGAATCCTTTCAAATTTGTGATTTTTCAATTAGTAGTAGAAAGTGTCAAGAAGAGTGTTCAATAAAAACAACATTTTTTTTTGTTTGGGGGTGACAGATCTTAAAGAAAGGGGAGCTTCAAGTAGCTGGGAAAGAGAGGGAATCACTGTTGTCGAGTCAGTTCAGGGATATTGCGACCATAGTGATGCACAAGACTTACAATCCCGAGACTCAGCGCCCTTACACTATCAGTATGATTGAACGCCTCATGCGGGAAATCCATTTCGCTGTTGATCCACACAGCACATCCAAGAAGCAGGTTACTTTTCCCATCACTAAATATTTCTATTATGTAATCTTCTCATTTATTTAATTGTTAAAATGATGTTATTATGGTGACCATACATGTTATATTGGTGTTTATATATAATTCAGGCTCTCGAGTTGATTCAAGAGCTTCAAAAGCACTTCCCTATAAAACGGTGTCCGTTGAGAATACGAGTCACTGCTTCTGAGGACCAAGTGCCTGAACTTTTAGAAAAGTTGAATGCATGGAATGCTACTGTTATTTCTAAAGAAGGATCTTCTGCTCAGTCATCTGTTGTAAGTGCTCGATATTTCTCCTTTAAACAACTTTAGTTCCATATTTCCATTCCATTTTCAATGTAGTTGTCCTGGTTTTCTGATTGCTTGGACTTGCCATAGTAAGTCTTGAAAGTGAAATTAAGCATGGCTATGGCTGTTTTTAAAGTGTTCTTATCATGTTTTTTGTGGGTGTTCGGGTAAACAACTTATTTAAGCACTTTTTTTAATATAAATTTATTATTTGAGGTTATTCATAAATTTGACTATTAAACTTTGTGAAATAATCTTAAGATAAGTTTCTTCATGAAGCATGTTGAAATAAGCTAAAAAAAAGTTATAAGAAACTAAGAAAGTCACAAACCACTTTCATAAGCTCAAATAAGCTTTGTTTGTAAAAGGTCAACTTCCAATTACATGTGTTGATGATCTAATTCTAGGATTAGGTCAGTAACTTTCTTTCTGATGTTTTATGTGGTTATTGTTTTCAAGGTTGAGCCTATGTTCATTAATGTAATGAAACTACAAATGACATGACACTGTATTCAGTTGTTGCTGTTAGTAATTATGACTGATATTTGGTATGTTTCTGTTGTTTTGTTAGTTATAGACATTGTCAATCTGTTAAACTAAAAACGAGTAACTAATGCAAAATCAGCTGCATTTTTGGCCTTTTTGCCTGGCCTTAGCTCCCCAAGGCAATCAAATATCTCATCAAAGTTGCAAAGGGGAAGTCTATTTCATAACTGTTGCATGATTCTTGAGTTTCAAATGCTACTTCTGTATTGTCCCTGTTTGCACTTAACGGATGGGAATATTATCCTTTCCAAAAATTGTGTGATTTTGGTATATCTGCATGATGTGTTGAGGGATATCAGTATAATCTCTGATTGGATTGCAGATTTTTGAATTGGAACCTGGTCTATATAAGGATTGTCACGACTTTGTTATGAATAAGATGCATGGAAGATTTGAAGTTCTTGCACACTCTCTTTATGTGGACGGGGATACCCAAGTGGAGCAATACAATGATTATGAGGATACGCCTGTACCGTTGCCCAAAGAAAATCTTGATTCTGTGCTTGAACTGAATGAAAAAATTCAAAAGCAAACAATTTCATCTACAAGTAGGTCTACTGAGGGACAACAAAAGCAAAACAAGTGCAACACATGTAATGTTTCTTTTGATGACTCTAAGTTGTACAGGGAACATCACAAGAGTGAGTGGCACAAACACAATATGAAGCGTAAGACAAGGCAACTCCCACCACTTACTGAGGAAGAGTGCATGGCAGACCTGGAATTGGGTGACTCAAAATCTGATTTGAAGGATTATTCGTTTTGAGATGATAATCAGTGTTTTTTGGTTGTTGGTTGGTAATCACATTATTCAAGTCTTGTGTGTATACTTAGGTCAATTTTGTCCG